TTAAGGGGATGGGGGTAGTGGAAGATATTGGCAAAATATTCCTGCGCGGCCCGAAGCGCCGAAAAAAATTCTTGCAAGGCAAAATTTGAAAAGCTCGTAAATTTACAAAAAAAAATACAATCGCGCGCCTGGAGTTGACTGTCCTTCTGAGGAATAAAACTGAATCACGGCTCACGCTATAAAAAATATTCACGCCTCTCGGCTAATTTTTTCTCCATTTCATGACTCACTACTAATTTTTCAGCCGTTTCACGGCTCACGATTAAACCCATTGAGACCATCTTACTTCCCGGCATATCACCGGAAATAGYAGCCATTTTGTCAACAAACCACGCGCGCAAAGCATAAAGGGAGACTACTGATATCTCCTCTGGCATGCAGTTAACATACGACTAGATCGACTTAATGAACGATGGCAAAGCACTGGTTGGGACGAGTCGTAGACTGTCACCAGGATCATAAATTCTCCATATTATAAATATTTTCATTGAAAAAATGATATAATTTTTTATAAAATGTCATGTAAAACTTTTTGTAATATCAACGTATATTGTTGTTAGTGTTGTTGTTGTTTCTGCTGCGGCTTTTTTTTTTTCTTTATTTCTTGTAGAATCTATATATAGCAACTACTCTCCAATATACCTTGTCATCTCTCAGTTCTCCCTGCCAATCACAATGGTTTGGATACTTTATCTTGAATGAAAGAATTTGTCGCTCGGTCGCTTTATCTTCAAATATCTTTGAAAAAAGTAAAGGTTCTTAAGTTAGCTACTTTTGCATACAAATAAAATCATTGCAGTTTGTAAAATCAATTACCTGTTGTGAGGTCAAAGACTCGTTGTCAAGAGGAAATTTTGTTTTTCTGTTAAAATGTTATAATATTAATTAAATTAGTTTCTCAGCAGTCCAGATATTTTTTATTTACAATTTTTTTCATTACCATGGATGCAGCTATCCACAGAGCCCACCGAATACAGAAATATGCAGAGACACAGTCTATGGTCGATAGTGAGTAAATCAACATTGAAACGAGCATTTTATAATGAGTTTCGGGGAGAATATTTTATCAAAGGGTGCTTGAGGTTCGCATGGCTTATTACGGAACGACTTTTTATCCACTGCATTCCAGTGCGTAATTGCGATTTTTTATTGCCTGCTGAAAATAACGAGGTTTTCGAAATATTTCCTTTATACTATTCTTTTTTCTCTAATTTATTCTTTTTTAACTTTCTTTGTGGCTTTACATATTTTGTAATTTACAAGCATGTATTTTGGGATGTGGGGCGTCCCCTCCTCCCCGCCGCCCAATGAATCATCGCTCCTTCAATGAGCATCCTCTAGTTGAATAGGCTTCATAAATTTCTGTTTTTTTATCCTGATTTTTTCTAAACAATTTTTGACGCAGGAAAAGATTTTAAACACGTTACCACTTTTTTGAATGGCCAATTTATCTGATTTATTGCTTCATGAAAATATTGTTTTTTCTCTTCTAGATCTCCGTTCTCTGTGTCTGTCGTGACAGTTTGCATCCCTGTGACAGTTCATGAAACCCAAACTCAATCATGACCTTACATTCAAGACTGGTTCTGGTTTTATCCTTTTAAGAGCTTGACCATTTTTACTATCAGGTAAAATCTCACTCTCGATATACATTGATTTCTTTATCACTAAAAAAGACGCGACTTTTTATGTGAATATTGATCAACGTTGCAAAGTTGATTTAAAAGAATTGATATTTCCAAATCTATTTCCTACTGACCTCTGTAAAGCTGCGTCCAAACAGCCCTTACAAAACCGATGTCCACATCTTGTCTGAACGGGTTTTAGCATTGCAAGATGGCAAATACTACAAATGTAGTCTTCAGGTACTTGTACAACAAACTCATAGTCGTATCCAGACGGTAATTCAGCGTTACTTGCCATCGTATTGCTACTTCCTACTTTACACACAACTCCTTTCAAAATGAAACTAGCAGAGGGAGGATTGGGGCAAGAAGTCATGCATGACGTCATCTAGTTTGAAAATGCTCATTGTGTTTGTAATAACCATATAATCAGGATCACAGAAAAAGTTTTCAGATTATTACCATATTTTATAAAGCCATTATAGTTCCATTTATCAGGTATGTATAGGACAATGGATGAGCTTATTGAAAATAAATAAATAACGCGCAGAGCGAGGTTATTATTTTCAYTAAGCCAAACAGCGARGCCATTATCCATYTAATATACACTTTTATTGTTTTCGAAGGAAAACCTCCAACAAAAAGGTCAATTTGATGAATTGTCAATCTGATTGTTAAGTCTTTCAAATTCAAGAGATATTAAAAGTACTGTTTCAGATTGTTTTATTGGGGCAATAAGGTTACATAAGGGGTTACATCATTTGAATAGACGCTATTATACCATTTAAAACTGAACATCAATGAATATCAGCACTTACGCTGATTGCTTGAGTTGAGGGCAACTAATGATAATGATATTTTTTCGATTGTTCTCATCCATGGATAAATCGGGAAACATTTCTCCGCGAAGACTCAGATCTAGACTAATCGTTCTTGTTTCGTTTTTTTCTAACAATGTCAGTGGAGACTGCGACTAAATTTTGTCGCAGCTGCTTCAAGTTATTGAGAAAGAAGATTTGGAACAAAAAAGTAGCTTTATCTAACTTAATTCATAGTTTGTTTTCTTATTCATGATAGAAAGAGCTATTGTTTGTCCCGTTTTTGAACTCTTTATTCATTGGAGTGATGTCAGCTGTTAAGTTCTGCCGACGAAGCCAGCGACAACAAGTCGTTTTAAAAAAGTACCAGAAAAAAGCTACCTCGATCGAGCTGGCACAGCAATGCATCCCGTACAACACTAAAAATAAGGCTATGTTAGCTTTCAGGCTTTTCTCTCCCAATTTGTGGCGGAAGAATAAAAAGGAGCTAACCACACCCTACATCAGGGGAGAGGAAAGTGAATTTGTTTTCTGGATTGTTTTTTTTTTTTTTCAAAAGCTTATGAATTCTTTAGACATAGAAATGAAAATCTCTACACAAGATAAATTAGGCTTAAGACCAAAACAAGCACAAATTATTACGCAAGAAATAGAAAACGTTCTATGGGATAATAGTTTTCTGGGTGAAAGGTATGAGAGCTGGTAATGAGAATCGAAATTTAGTATGGATAGTTTTTTTTTAGATTATGAGGGACGCATTTAATTTGAAGCACTTTGAATRCTTAAAGGTGTGTATTAATGTGGAATATTTCTATCAGGGCAAATACAATTMGATTAACAAATTTTGTTWACACAGATRAATTTKTTTATTTTTGTCAAAATTACAAGYAACGAATTCTCGAAAGCGGTTCGYTTCTGTRGTTAAARAGGAAGGGAGRAACAAAGTGCATAGTGRTACAAYGACCMAAACAGCTTTTRATCGAACYTTAATCTTTAAAACGATTAYASAGAATAAAGCATAAGAAATGATTGAAAAAACCTGTTGCCATCTTAATTGGGTTACCTGTGCACTTGATATTTTCCATTCATTATATGAATTTATATTATAATTTGTGATGAAATCAAAACCTCTTTTATCAGAAATGTCTTGACCTACATTCCAGTCACAGTTACATAAAACATAGGTTAAAACAACAGCAGGGAATCAGATTGAATTTGATTTATTCATCTTATCATAATAACACAATATTACATGAGATAAGACTAGTCTGCCAGACACCCTTCCTTCCTTTGCTGAGTTTTTCAATCATTAAGAACAATAAACTCTACCAAAATAGAATAGAGAACGAATCTCTGTGATACATGAATTGTTTTCAAAAGTCCCTAAGTATTTTTCTCAGTCAATCGAGTTAAAATGTACCTTGTTGTATATGAAACATCTTTTAATTATTTTAAATAAAAACTGTAGCTGTTAATGCAACCACTCAGTCGTCAGGCAATTCCTGTTCTCATGGGATTCCTGTGTATCGGAAGGTGTTGAGCCTGGATGGAAACTAAGGGATTTTTATKGGGGACTGGGAAGGGGCAAGGAGAGGAAGAGGGAGAGTTGTACTCCCTCGCCTCATTCTTTCTCGGCCGTGTGGTAGCGGTAATGATAATTCAGTTGTATAAAATTATCAATCTGACCGCCTACAGACACAGGAATTGCCTAAGGAACGCTCTACAGATGACTAAAATAGGATTCTGTGATGTTGTATCCCTAGCAGCACTTTTTTTCTGTYATGCACCTTTCTTTCACTTGCTCCAGCAGACACGTCGATATCGGTCACATGAAGCAATTACTAAATTGTTCTGAATTATGTTAATTACTTTGTTTTCTATATCTAATCTAACCTCTATTTCTCACAAGGTTTTCTGCTTGTATTCTACTATATCTTCTAACTAATGTCTAATGTTTGGTGCCGGCAAGCGCAAAGCAAGGTTAATTGCGACTTGTTAAATTCACATGATGCACATCACATTAAGCAGACGTTTACACGTAGTCGACGGACACTTTCGAAACCGCGTAATTTGTGAGAACTAACATTATACAAAACCACTAGAATCAAGGCTATTGCCAGGAATCAAGGCTATTGCCAGGAATTTCAAGATGAGGGTTGACTGAACCAATCCTCTAATTAGATAATAGTGTGATAAGACTGTAAGTCTCTAGAAATAAAAGCCTATTGAGAAACACAAAAAAACTGATAATTTTCGTATAAAGGAAAAATACTTATTATGCAGCTTCACAGATATCCGCCGTACATACACAGGGAGCACAGGCTCTTTATCAGTGGTTCTTATGTAATCACCCCGCCCCTCCCTTCCCCTGTATATTTTACTGTTATTTTTACCGGATTTTCTATGATGTTATTGAATCGTGAGTTTCTCACTTGAATTGAAACGAAATAGCACAAACCTCCTACATCCTGCTATTGATGTATGCAAAAATTGCCTGACGACGTTTCAGCCGATTTGGTTAAGTTTATACGCCTTTCTCACCATGATGAAGAGCCTGTGCTCCCTGTGATGCATGTACGTGTGAACACTGCGCATGCCCATATCTCATCTACATAATTTCAGTATCTGTTCGGAAAAGAGATTAATTTTCTTACGTTTAGTAATAAAGTCGAAGACAGTTCAATTATTGGCATATGCTTTTGAAAGGGGAATCTTTCATTGCATGACGCTAAATCGTTAAACTCATTAATTCAGTTCATTTTATGAAATGTACATACTAATTTCCTCTCCTTTTCTCAACATAGCTCGAGGTCTAGCTATCAACCTTTGTAAGTCTTTTACTTCCATGTAAATGACAATAATAGTATATGAGAATCATTGTTAGCTTGTCAGGTCATAGTCATATGTCACGCCAGAGCTSATATGTCACACAAGTGTCACATCAAGTACCATACACATATTGAGCGAGTATCTTCCATGTGCGTCAAGCCTGAGACTCAATGAACTTAATGACAGACACGTATTTTAAAGCGCAGTCCAGGAAAGTTGTGTCACGCTATCACATGACACGCCATCTACGTCACAGTAGATTTACATCAGGCACACATTCCACCGTTGGATGGATTTGTCACGTAAGGCACATACGTCACGCATCAGTCACAAGCCGTCTTCTGAATGGTTCTTATGGTTATTGAGTGTGTAGTTAAGCTCTGTTAAAGTGCCTCGTCTACTTGAAGTACTTCCGTTCGAGCTATCTCTACAAGCTTTTCCYCGAAATAAGATATTGGCAAAGGCTGACCGGAACTCCCTGTTCATACATGCGTACACTATAGGGTTGTAGAAGGAATTGCTATAATGCATCCATTTGGCGACCATGATCGCTTCATGACTTACACATGATTTATCTTTACAAAAACCGTGCACTAAGTTCATGATGAAAAARGGTCCCCAACTGATGATAAATGTACCCATGACCACGCCCAAAGTCTTGGCCGCGCGCACCTCGGTTGAGAGTAAAAAGTTCTTGACGTTACCCTTGACAACCAGTGCAATTTGACGTGCTTGGTACCTGGCTGCTTTGAAAATGAGACGGTAACTAAAGCACATTATGCCCAGTGGTAGGAAAAAACAGGATATGGTAATGAGCAATTCATAGTTAGGGCGTGGCCATTCGTAATAGAATAACTTTATTGATGAAATTATAAGTGCCCACGCCCAGTTAGCCAAAATGATGTATATCGCTCTCCTTGAGGTCATGAACGAGTGATAGGTCAGCGGTCGCGTAATGCAAATGCATCGTTCAATGCTGATTGAAGCCAGGTTAATGATGGACGCCACGCCGCATAGAATGTCTACCCATGTCCAGAACTTGGTCAAAAGTTCTTGGTTCCAGTATGGGCCTATTAATAGATATGCACCCCAGATAGGCATCGAGAGRAAGGCCACTAAAATGTCTGCAATTGCCAGTGAGACTACAAAGTAGTTTGTCTTGGTGCGTAATTTACGGTAGCTTTTGAAAGCMAGGATAACTAGGATATTACCAGATAATGTCATGACGAATATGAAGAAGAGAAATATGAAAGATGGTATGCTAAACGATTTGCTGAATTGGGGCATGTATGGTGGGCCTGACGTGATACTGGAGTTATTGGACATAATTTGATTGCTTTCAAAACTGAAAAAAGAAAGAGAAACTGCTTTAGTGATAAACACACACGGTGATTATAAGAACCTTGATATAATACCTGCAGGTTAAGTCCTAATTAYATTCCTTAGTTCTATGCTGCCACAGCGGGGTGGATGAGAATGAATTAATAATGTWTTTTCGAAACCTCAATTTCTTGTTTACAGAGTCGATGCTTTTTCGTAGCGTCAGCATTAAAGTCCTTCATTCAACTGAGAACGGACCAAAAAACACCAAAATGCTCTGAAAACGCATACCTTTCTAATGTCTCTGCGTATTACTGCATTTATCCAATACTTACACTTAATTACCGACGRTTCTATGTATTGAGATCCGTTAATGGATGTGTACACTTTTAATGGTCTAATGAAAACAATGTCTAATTCCTAGTAAAATGTTTGTCTGTACCCTGTGGATATTTCCATTTAGTTCACACTAGGGCTGAGCCCCCTATTTCTCGGTAAATATTAATTTTCTTCCTAATATTAAAGAAACAAARAATTTCAATAAATAGTCGACGCTAAGTGTTTTGACTTACAAAGAAACATTTTTTTAGTGATTATGTAATATCATGATTGTGTGTTGATGTTATCTATTTCCCTTAGCTTTTCTATTGAACAAATCTTGATGGGTGGAGTAGCTTAAAAAATGATTTGTATTCTAAACCACATTGTCTTGATTGAAAGGTGTACCTACTTTCCTCGGTATATCATATATTTACAGTTCTATCGATCTGGAGTTTTTTCATACGATAAGAAGCTTTAAAACTTCTAGTAAAATACTTCAGAGTGTACAATGTTATTGATATATACCTAGGGGATTCTGAATCCGAATTAAATGAATAAAAACCTTGCGACATGTGAAACATCACAAATGATTCTTTGACGGACGTTACTTGGAATTGCATAAGAAAATAGATGCTGTATACCATGGGCGTGCTAAGAGAGAGCTGACACCAGAGGCCTCACAAGCTGTTGCAGCATGTAGCATGATGAACTTAAGTAATGAAATGCAGCTATGTGATCAAGTGCACTTCCACATAAGGTGCAGTTTATTTTCCTTTGAAATRCAGTTCCTTTGTTTTCAAATGCGATGGGTTGAGTATTTGAGTTGTGCGCAAAAGATTTTGTGCACACCGTGAAAACCTAGAAAACTCGATTCCACGCTTTTAATTATCWCTGTTTGTCTTAGAATGAACAGACTTCGAAAATAAGGATAAAACAAACAGATGTTGTTTAATTAATAGTTCAATGTCGTGCAGATTGGACAAGATAGTAAATAGTGAAGGCAACCACAAGACCCTTTTTCTGTAAAATTTCTTGTTCAATTAAGTAGTTTAGTGCTTATTTAACGCAAGATAAATTTTTAATGTTTCAAAATGCATTTCCGTACTAATGGCAACTGGTTTTAAAAAAAGATATGAGCTCTTGTCCACAATCGTTAGTTTTCGTTAATTTTTATTGGTCGCTGTACTCACAGAAAAAGAAAAACACGCGAGAATACCATCACGGAAGGACTGCAGTGAAAAAATCTAGCGGAGGAAGCAGATTGAAATGTTATGTTTGAACAAGCGAACCCTGAATTTCTAGCATTTTGCTTTGTCATCAAAAATCGAGAATCTCTCATTATCAACGCATGAATAGTACAAATACATCGAGCTATTATAACTTACATCCTCCAATAATTAACAATGTATACCCTTTCATATTCATGATTTAATGGAAGTTTCTAAAGATTTATACTTACCGAAGTCTTTTTAAATTATATCGAACCACATTAATTGGTTCTTGTTCGTAATGTGTCTTGAGATTAAGAATTGTCTTGCTGCTCGATACAAAGATATAMCGTTCCAGCCTTTATCCCTGAGCTGTCTTCATCTGCGCCTAGTTATAGCCCTGCAAAGTGTATACATAACCTTAGAGAAAATATTGYAATTTCGTTGTTTAGAGATACGCTATTATTGGAGCTACGTGGGTGGGTTTACGTACCTACCATTTGTTCTTATTATTATTGTATTATCACTACTAAAAGTCCTTTTAATGAACTCGAGACTCAGCAGACACGCAATCACGACCAGCAGGAAAATTCGATTAGAAATCTTTAACTGTTCCATTTTACRATTTTTTTTYCTTTTCTTTCTTCTTTTAATGGACATAAGCGTGTAGTAATAMGTTATAATTTGTTGAATTATTGATTTATCGATGCGTGTTTTTTAGGTGGATTTAAATACATTTTGTAAGTTTGTCTTTGTTAGTTTCATTTTGAAAGGAAATGAACTGCTGCGAGAGAAATGTATTGAGCTCCTTTCATCGATAGCTAATCTTTTTATGATTTTATTCGTGTAGTGGGTTTATTTCGCAGTCTTTTTAGCGCAAATAATTTAGAGCAATCAATATTAATGCGCTTCATAAAAAGTGGCTATTCAAACGATATTACATTTATTTTCATGCTATTTCTTGTTGTTGTTTTAATGTATACAGTGTTTAAATAATAGACGCCATAATACGTGGCGCTGAAGACGAACTACCGTATGATATTTTAGACGATTCTTRAGGTGGCAGTGGGGTGGATTTCTGTGTTTATATAATGTATAAAATATAAAGGAATTTTGTGATGTTCCGTTTGCGTTGGTATAGACGTAAAAACTTGGTTAATGATTGATTAAGTTTTTTTTAGTTTCCTCCGCTTGAAGGGATTCACTTTGTTTATTTGGTTTTCGTTTGTCAGTTTTGAAAACTTCCGCAAATACAATTTGAACCATCTATTTGTTCTTTTATCGAATATCAAAAGTGAATATCAAAAATATATTCATATAAACATTCACAAAAATAATCATAGTTAAGAATAATCCATTAACTATATATTGATATATTATTTGGTTTTGTAAAGTGATATTTTATATAGTTGCTCTAAGTCCTCATTACTATTTATGCCTCATAGGGATTGCCAGTTAAAAAAGATGTAGGGATGTCCCACCGTGATAGAACAAGTGGCTCTGAAAGAACAGGATGCAGAAGATACACAGAAATGAATATTAATCATGATGGTGCAGGTAAAGAAACGAAATAGAGGCTATTGCTGGAAATTCTACCTATAATTCATATATTCATTTATAAAGTTAAATTAGTAATCTTAAATGTTTACAAGGATCTTACAATTTCCCGTTTTATTGATATATTCCAAATAGCAGGAGTTGAACAGGAAGAATAATATACCAAAAAAAAACACACCCCCAACCGAACAATGGTAATGTTAGACATCGTTCAATCATTCTTTAATGCCTGTTAGTCAGGTTTTTTCTTCTAAAAATCAATTTTAACACTGAATGTATTGGAACAGTGTGAAAATACAAAATAACAATAACTTGAAGGAACAAGAACATTAATGTTTGTTATAAAAAACATACTCGGATGAGACACGAACGTGACAAATGCGTCTCGGAACATCAGTTAATATTATAATAATAACAATACAATAAGAATATTTATATTGCACTTATACCAGATCAATACTCTAAGCGTTTTAACTAAATAGATTTACGAAGAAAAGGCTAGCGTATATAAATGAGTTATCGATCTTTACAAAGAGATCAAGGGATCAACGATCAGATATATTTTTTCGTATAAAAGTAATAATAATTTTCATAAATATTCAAATGATTGGAGCGAAAATATTTTACGTTAAAAACTAACAGTTATCGAAATTTTGTACAGCAAGCCTCAAGCAGAATACTCTCCTACTTGTCTACATTCTAACAACACTGTTTACAACTACATTGCCCCATTAACCATCATAGATAGAGTATAACCCAATAACGTCATCTAAATACAATTAACTATGCCTTAAAAGTAATTACTGCAATAATGAACGTCTTGAKGACTAAACAGTTCTAAACTGTTTTCTGTAAAATTTCGTTAAAACGACGCRTGTCTTTGATGTTATGGGATTGAGACATTCATAATTGATTTCGTCTGTTATAATGACGTYACAGCAAGTTTGCATGGCTGACAAAATATCTTAAGACACCATTAGACTTCAACGAAGTTTTCGTTCTCCACAAGTGTTGAACGTCAGAATTTTAAGTTTGCAGTTAATGATTGAGGTTAGACTATATATCTATTAGTTTGCCGCTGTCTTGCCGTTATTCCCCTTCCTTCTACCCCCTGGTAACCACTTTTGAAGTTTTGTGTCCACTGATGTACCAATGCACGTAATTTAAATTCCTTTTTGCTTTTGCTTTTTGTTTTTGGCCTTGCTGTCTTAAACAGGGGATACATTTCACCCGAAATTGTCTTAAACAGGGTCAGGGATTTAGACCGCTGGCGGCACGTACCTATCCAAAACGGGGTCGAGTACCCCCCCCCCCCCCCCCCTATTTACCCCCTATTTCTATCCTCCTCCCTGAAACTGAACTTGGATTCAAAAAGCCACAAACTAAACAAATACTAGATAATTGCTAGATATAATAATGCCAATTAACAACAACAACAACAACAACAACAACAACAATAAACAAATAACAACAAGAATAAATAAAAACAAAACGTTTTGTTCTTCTTATCAAACTGATAAATGATGAAATAAATAGGATCCAGTCAGGCTAATAAATATTATTTAATGATAATAAAATCTTTACATTTAATCAGGTATAAACCCTTAATTGTGCAATATGCCATCATTGGAAAATACAATATTTGTATTTGAGTTAAAAGAAAAACATAGAAATAAAGAAAAAAAAAATATTGCTTAGGAAGTAATAAAAAAAATGTTAATAAGCGCGAAAAGAAAGCTACATTACAAAGACGATTATAAATTTTATAAATATATACTTTGTGTATTTGTAATTTAGGAGATTTTAGAGACACTTCTAATTGAATAAATACTGTCGTAAATATCGACGAGATGAGTCATTTTAACAAGATAGTACTCTAAACCATTTTAATCGAGTTGATTGTCACTTTAGAGAGCATATGAGGATATGAAGTAACAGTTTTAGTGTCTTTTATTGATCGCCTTTCTAAATCACTGCCACCCAAAATTCCCTGTATAATATATTTATTCGACAAATAAATTTATGAAATATGAAAATAACTTTTTTTTTAACCGACAGCACGTTTATCTATTGCATAAACGATAATCTCCTACAAACACGAATAGATTTTAGACTTCAGCGGACATTTTTTGCATGAAACTCCATCTTGGAGTTGACATCCGTCATCTTAGTATATTTCTCAATACCATGATGCACCTCGTCAAAGCACACATGACGTCATCAAGGAAAGACTATTGACACAACATGAAATGTCTTCGCGTGAGCGGTAATAATCACGTAC